GAGCATCTTTCTATCCTTAGTCAAGTGCTTCTAAACCAGAGGTGATTTGGCACCCGAGGCCACACTGGCTAATGCCTGAGGGCATTTTTGGTTGCCACAACCTGCGGGGTGGTGCTGTGAGCATCCGGTGTGCAGAAGCTGGGGATATTGCTGAATATTCTACAAAGCACAGGGCAATGCCCCACAGCAATGAATTATCTGGTGTATAATGCCAGCGTCAAGTAGAGAAGACTTGCCAGAGGCATACAACGTGGTTCCTTCTGGAGAGATTTCACACACACAAGACAGCACAACTTGGAGAAGAGAAATTAACTATGTGCTCTAGGGAATGATAAGGTGGCCTTGGAAACATGTAATATTTTTAAGGACTGAAAAGAAGTGCTTGAGTCTCAGATATTTAGGCAAGTGTCCTCTAAGGAAATCTGAGTCCCATCCTGGTCTAGGTCATGAACAGACCATTATGTTGTCTACAGAAAAGTTACCTTCAAGGGACTTGATAGCCAATAGTAATATAATGAAATTGTAGTTCTCTGACAATAAAAATAACATAAATCTATCAATCACCCCAGGGTAGAATGTTTTGGATTTTTTTTTAACTGTAAAGAAACTCTATTTGTGCACGGAAATAAACAACATGGCCTGTGTTTCATGTCCACAGGCAATGCTGTTAAAGTTAGGCCCGTGAATATTATCCTCAGGGTAGCACAACAGCACAAGATTAATAAGCTATTGGTCATTTTGATTGCAATATCCGTGTACACTTCACTCTGGATTCCTTTCTTAGTGTAATAAGATAAGGCTTACTGTATCACTTAATATCAAATTCCCATATAAAGAAGCTGGCACAATAATGCTTTAGAAAAACATTATTTCTTCACATCTGCCCCAAGAATGCATTTTATCCAAATAAAACCACCCGAGAGGCTTTTTACATTGCAGCTCTTGTGAAAAGGGCAGAGGAAAGATAAGGCTGTGAATGGTGGTGTTGGAAGTGTTATTTCTCATCTCCAAAATTTTATTTTAGTCATGGAATTTTACACTGGCCTACTGAAAGAACAACAGGGCAATAAATAGCAATACCACATTACAGACTTCTGCAAGAGGGATCTTGAAGGAGAATGGACATTTTTATTCTTATAAGTGAAGACACTTTCTCATTAGAACCTTCAAAAGCTCACATGGAAGTGACAGAGATATGACTTCAAAGAAAAACAACACCACACAGTAATTTAGATAAAACTGAAAGGAGAGTAGAACCGATAATATCACCTAATGCTTAGATTCAAGACAAGAGCACAGAATCCATCATGGCCCATGACTGCATGATGTTTGTTTTGCTTACTCAACAGTTAAGTTAAATTTGAAGATCTTTCTCTATTTCCACCTCACGCTACTGTATCATCATGGATTTCTTAGAATTCAGAACAGTAAACCCTTTTTAGTACTGCATACTCCATGCATTGCCAAAAGAACAAACAAACGTGCCTTGGAGAAAGTGTGACCCGGGTGTTTCTTAGAAGCAAGGACGAGGAAATTTCATCTCACATAATTTGGGCATGTTCTTGGAGGGGGACAGGAGATTGGAAAGGTGGAGGGTTCGCAAAAGAGAGAAAGACCCTCCAGGGGATCGATTGACACAGTGATGATAACAGTCTCAAGTGTATTGAAGATGAGGAGGATGCCACGAGGACAGGCTTAGATCTGGTGTCTACAGGATCACAACGAATCACATTCTAATCAATGGCGCACCACCACAACAGACAGCGTAAACTACTAGCTTAAAGCTGAGCTACGTATGTGTTTATTGAGGAGATCCTGTAGTCTAGTCTAGCAGTGGGACAACTCACACATTGACTGTTTCAGAGAAGCTCTGACGTCAGGGCAGCCTTACAGGGCGAACTGCCTCTCCAGACGTCCGGCTATCATCTTTACAAAGTAAACCTCTAGGTTACTCTAACTCCTTACTCTCGAAGAAGTTGTGCTGTTAACCTACAGGTCACATCTCTCCAGCACACTGAATCTACCAGCTGTTCCAGTGAAGAAAGAGGGACAATCTCCTCCCGCTTGATTTACAGCCCTGGCAACCCACCGAGAGGTCAGTTATTAAGTCAGTTCTGACTTGACCGCAAGTCAAGCCAAGTGAGAGAACTTTTATGGAAACAGACAACCACATCATTCTCAGTTCTTGTTCCATCCCCTTTTGATGCTTCTTGCATCATAGAATCCTTTCAGGAATGTAACCCGACACTTGAATTTTCCCTTTTGTTGCTTCACCTTGAGATATTCTGAGAATGCTTTGTGCTTTTCTAACACCATGTCTTGTTCAAGTCAATATATTTCCTTGTATTCAACATAAAGAAAAATGTTCTCACAAGTAGACTAACAAACAGTATTTTGACAAATTGAGAAAAGCTGGAAGTTGTCAATGATTTAACTTTATGTAGAGCTCCACAGGTTGGAAGAGCAGCTGGAAGGACAGCTATGAGTTGGCTCTGATTTGACGGCAATTGAGAGTGAAGCAATATCAGGTATAAAGGCAAAAATAATCAAGGCCTGGCTGTCAATGTGATGCTGAAAGTAGAGCATATTTCTTTCTTCCGTTTTCTCATAGGTCTTCATTTCCCCCGTGTGCAAGTTAAGATCTGGGTTTCTTCTCTAAAGATATAATTCTCGAGGCATTCATCTTTGTTCGTTGAACAATGCAAACAAGTATCTATCCATAACTATGCATATCAGGTGAGTTAAGTACAATATATAGGTGTACCTACAGTCAAATTTTTATAGTATTTTAAATTTATGACTTGAAATGTGAGGTAGACATCCACAGGAGAGAGGAAAACTCACTGTACACCAAATTGTCCTCACCGCCTCTACTGTGGTATCACTTTGCGGGACATCTGCGACTACAAGTCTAGGGTTTCTGAGAGTCTCATTCCTTTTTCTTTTCTTCTTCTACTACTTAGGTTTGGAATGAACAGGGATGAATACCTAGAGAATTATGTCTTTAGAGAAGAAACCCAGATCTTAAATTGCACACAGGGGGAAATGAAAGTCTATGAAAACGCATAAGTCAGGAACTCGCTCTGACTTCAACTTCACATTGCAGGCAGGCCTTGATCAAGTTTGCCTTCACGAGCCTCATGAGTCCGGCACAGCTGATGTTAAGCACATCATCTTTCCCCACTTTATTTCATCTTTCTGCTAATGACACCGAGATTCCTTCCAGTATTAAAGTTTCAGTCTTTCTGGTTTCTCTCTCTTTGCCATCAAATGTAATATCTCAATAGTCATTAAGTGCTGCCTGAATTCAGGGCAAGTATCGCGTGTCAGTGAAGTCTCAGCTAACATGTGCACAAGGCCGGGCTCTTCACGATGTCACGCTGTTCACCATCATGTGATTTTTCCTTATAGGTAACAGACAAGGGTTAGTGTCTTAGTCGCTACGTAGCGGACAGTAAAGAGTCCATCCTGTTCACCAGCATGCCCATAATCCTTGATGGGCAGCTCTATGCAGTTAAAGAACTTGACACACTTTTTAAAAAAATAGTGTTTAATTGAAGTTTTGGTGAAAGTGTACACAGCGAGTCAGGTTCCCGTTTGACAACGTCCGTACAAATCATTAGTTACACTTTTCCTGTGTTCACACATTCTCTTTAATTGTGTCCGTGTCCTCTATGTCTAATTCCCCTGCATTCTAATCTTCTCATCTTTGTTGTGAGTAACCCTGTCAGCTTCTTGTGCACGTGGGATTCTTTGCTAGATGTCACTGAGTCAACTCCAACTGTTAGCGACCCTATGAACATCAGAGATGAACTTCATCCTATACTGGACAGCCCTCACCTTCTCTGATACACTGAAGCCCATTGTCACAGTCACGTACCGATCCACCTTGTTGGACATCTTCCTCTCTTTCTCTGACCCTTCTTCACCTTTAACAGCAAGACATCCTTTTCCAAGGACTGGGCCCTCCTGAAAAAATGCCCAAAGGATTTCCAATTTTGCCTGGAAGGAGCACCCGGGAAGCACTTCCTCCAAGACAGACGAGTTTGTTCTTTGGGCAACACATGAGATTAGTCCATCATCTTCTTCACCACCACAATCCAAAAGTGTCCATTCTTCTGTTATTATTACAGATCTACAGAACTCAGTGCTTTGATACGCATACTTCCTAGGTATTGTTTTCTGCAATGGAGCCTTCGTGTTGTTCAAATAAGATTAAAAGGTGATCAAATGAAAACCATGGGCAAGTCCAAGATAGAAGCCTTGGAAGATAAAAGCAACCAGTTACCCAAGACTGATTCTGTCTGCTGAAGGGTAACCAAAGCAAAGGATTAAGAATTGGAAAGCTTCAACCAAAGATTTCAAAACTCACAGAACTTCAGAAATCCCAGGTGATGTAGTTTATTAATATTCTTTTTCAAAATAAAAATTTGGAGCTATGTGACTTGTTCTAGATAAAAGGCACAGATTTATTGATGCTTAAAGAATTAAGAAACAACCACTTGAGTTACTACCTTTACTCTTGTCCACAATCTTTCTCTTATTATTCAGCATGTAAAAGTATTATTGTTGTAGAAGTGAACCTAAGTACACTGTAAAGATTATTCAAAGTTAAACTCCAGAACTGTTCTAAGGGTAATACTTTGGTCTTAGACCCAACAGACCATTTCCCAAGCCTAACTCTTCACTGCCTCTTTACATCTTGTCTCTGTCTCTCTCTCTCTCTGAAAGCTAAATACAGTGAAAGTGAGCAAGAGTGAATGAGAGTGAGCGAAAAAGAGAGGGAGAGGTAGAGTGAAAGATTTATGCTCAATACATGGAGAAGACGTGGCAGACAATATGCTATGAAGCTGGAGTCATGGGGAAAAATAAAAGTACAATGGTGAGAAATATTTGAATTCCTGCTTAACGATGTAAAAGATATAATTTTTTTAAACTATTCATTATAAGAGCAGCAAGATACTTTATGAAGTAGAATTCAAAAAGTGGGGTTTACTTACCCATTCTGTATGGCAGCCGTGGGGTCATAGGTCAGTGCCATGCCAGCCTGTGTACAGTGGGGGGGAGAGAAGAAAACACATTTTAAAACTTTACTGTGCTGTCATAAATATTCAATATACACAGATAGTTATCTTTACACAGTATCATTTAAGTTCATTTTCTCCTGCATATTTCCCAACTCTCACTATCAATAAACTAGTATTTTGACTGGTTATGTGCCAGGCCCATCAAAGAGTTGGGTAGTTTATATTGTATAGACCCAAACCAAGGAACAATACAGTTTGAGTAATTCCCATTCCTACTTCACAACTGTCAACAGTTGCTTGGATCTTGCTTGGATGCACAGTTAACACCTTCTGTACCTGCAATCAGGAAATAGGGAGATGCACTGCACTGGGAAAATCTGCAGTTTGGGACCTTTCCAAATTACTGAGGAGTAACGATATCAACATAAGGATTAAGGTGCACCTGATTTTAGCCCATAGTCTTTCCAATTACTTGTTATGCATCTGAGAGGCAGACAGTGAATATGGATGACAGAAAAAGATTTAATGCCTTTGAGTTGTGGTGTTGGAGAAGAGCACTGAACATCCCATGGATGGCCAAGAGAGGGTGCAGCTGGAGTGCTCTGGAAGCAAGGATGAGGCTTAGCCTCACATACTTTGGTATGTTGCTAAGAGGTGTTTTTCCATGGAGAGGGACATGATGCTAGGAAGTGTGGAGTGTCAGCAAAGGAAAGGAAGACTCTTTACCAGGTGGACTGACATGGTGACTGCTACAACGGGCTCTGTGTGTCAGAAGTGTGAGGATGGTGCAGGATAGAACAGGGTTCAGATTTTTTGTTCATAGGGTCGCTATGAGTCAAACTTGACTCTAAGGCACCTAACACAGAAATGACAGCTTGACAAAGTGGGAGAAAGATGGGCAGTGTCCTCCACGAGATTTACTGTTTCTGAAAATGCACTGGTCAGCTAGCAGTTGGTTTCAACTCCATGACTTATAATAGGAACACTTCATAAACACTCTGCTGTTTAATATGTCACCCATATAGAATCTGCACTCTAGTCAAAAGCATCTTTCATACAGTTCATGGCATTAAAAAGTAAGAATAGGTGAGCTCTGGTGGCCAAGTGGCAAGAAGCTGCACTGCAATCTCAGAGGTGAGCAGTTTGAAGCCACCAAGTGTTCTGCTGGAGAAGGAGGGATAATTTCCTCCTGTACCTGTCAATCTGATTTGACAGTGTGTACACACACACACACACACACACACACACACACATACACACTTTTATAAAAAAGTAAGAATAAAAGCAAATGCCACTTAAAATATATTTGAGCATTTAGAAGAAAATGTTAAGAAATATTTATTTTAAAATCAGTGGTATGTTTCAGGTATCTAATGAGCCACAGAGGGCCTGTCCGATAAATTGCAGGTGTCCGTCCTACCATACAATGTGTTGGCTTCTTAATCTTGAACCTGACTTCCATTGTGACTAGCTATACTCAAGATTAAATCACATGCATTAATTTCCTTATGTATAAACAACAAATATTTTAAGGATTATCACGAAAATAAAAATAATGTGTATCTACATATGAATGGAAATTAGTATAAAACACATCATTTTTAAAGGAGTTGGCAAATAAAATTAAGACAACTGTCAGCAATGAACAGAACAGTCTTGAGAACATCTATTTAACTTAACAGTATAAACTCTCTAAATATAAGGATTTCAATTCTACTAAAAAGGAAAAAAAAACCCCAACAACCCTGAAAATATGGTAAGATTGGAGACTTAGGAAATGAGAGGAAGGGGGGAAAAGATGAAGGGAGGTTTTGCTTTTTCTCTTTGGAAAGCTACTGGTAGCAGCGTCAAAAACACATGAAGATGTGAAGTCTAAATTTTGCCCTGAGAGGAAGCTTTTGCCACATAAATAATAGGATCTTGGCCCTCGTAGAGATTGTCTGGAATGAAGCCGTCCGGGACTTAGCTAAGACTCCAGGATCCTGGCTACAGGAGAGGGCAGTTATCAAAGTCACTTATTTGGGGAGGAGTTTCCTTTTCAAGAACAATGGGCTTCTCCCCTCTAACTTGTCCACTGATGCCACACCAGAAGTTAGATCATGACGGATTCAGGATGGAAGCCGTATCTCCAGTGTCTTCACTACCACAAGCTGTCTAAATTCTGACAGACTCACAGAAAACTCCTCACAATCTCCTCTCCCTGCCTTTCCTTTCCAACAGGGTTCAGAGGCCAGCCTTGACTTGTACATTGTGAATCTCACATCGTCATGAGGCCGCTTCTTTGGTCATGCCTCTTCACAAAAGATGGCATCTTCACAAAAGGAAGAATTTTATCCCTTCAAATTGGACTTGAATTCTTCACGAATTTTAGTTAACAAATCATGTGTAACTAAGAAATCCAGCAAATTCTAGTTCTTTGTTGAACACATATTTAATAATCATAAAATCTTAAATTTTCTTTTACTTCCTCTTTTCTCCCACCTCCTTTGACAAATATGTAATGAACAATTAGCTGTAGAATGGAAAGAATGTATGTTTTGGAGTGAAACAGGCCTGAGTTAGAATATTAGCCCAATTATTTCAAGAAAAGTGTTACCTTGGATAACTTATTTAACCTAGTTAAACTTTAAAATGATTTAACCAATTTCAGCCTCAGTTTCCTCAACTATATAACAAAACTTACTGAAAGATTTGTTGTGAGATTTTAATGAAATGAGCCTAAATAAATTAAATAATTGAAACTGAAATTCTTTTTACTTAAATGAGATTGAATCTATTTTCATGAGGCACTCTTGTGACTTTATGGTAAGGAATTACTCTGTCAACCAAAAGGTTGGCAGTTCAAGCCCACTAGCTGCTCTCTGCTAGTACTATGAACCAGTCAATGTCAGTATAAATAAAGTCAAAAAGTCTTAGCCTTACTGGGAGACCAGAAAATAGAACTGAGATGAAATGAAGTTGTTACAGAGGAGTCAAGGCTAAAATGGAATGACAACAGTCCAAAATAAGAGGTGCATAACAAAGTGCACTGGGCTTGGGGGAGGGAGGAAATTATGTAACAGTGAAGGGTTTTTGGATTTTTTTTTGGCTTTTTTTTAAGCGAAGAGGGAGCAGTGGGGAGAAAAAAGTGCTACAATGTATGAATGAAAATTTAACTTTCCTGTAAACTTTCATTAAAATCACAATAAAGATTTTTTTTTGCAACTATGCTTATAAGAGATAATGACCTATAGCTTTTTTTTTTATTTTGGTGGTATCCTTTCCTGGCTTTGGTATCAAGGATATGTTTGTTTTATAGAATGAATCTGGAAGAAACTGGAACCCTTATTCACCGTTTGTGGGAGTGTAAAATGGTACAACCTCTATGGAAGGCTGTATGGCGCTTTCTCAAAAATTTGCAAATAGAAATATCATTTGACCCAGCAATTCCACTACTGTGACTGTACCCCAAAGAAACCATAACCACCACCCAAGCAGATATAAGCACACCCATGTGTATCTCGGCTTTTCAAAGAGTTGGAAACAACCTAAGTGCCCATCAACAAACAAATGGATAGAGAAGCTGTGGTATATTCACACAGTGAAATATTATGCTGCATTGAAAAACAAGGAACTCATGAAATATTACTCAAAATGGGTGACCCTGGAAGACATTATGCTTAGTGAAATAGCTCAGTCACAAAAGGACAAATATTGCATAGTGTAACTGCTGTAAAACAGGACTGACATCGAGGTGGGGGGGGGAGACTGAGAAAGATGGGATAAATAATGTATACTGCATTGAAACAGATGAGGGAGAGAACTGTTTAAAAGGGATATATGATTAGGTATTATTGTCATGACAAGAGTCCAGAATGAAGGCTGCATAATGGAGTGGACTTGAGGGGAGGGATTACATAACAATGAAAGAATTTTTCTTTTACTTTTCAAAGAGAAGAATGAGCTGGGGATGGAGGTTGGGCAATGAGAAAAGTGCAACAATGAATGAATGGAAGTCCAAAGTCTCTGTAAACTTTCATTAAAATTAATAGAAATTAATGGGTAGGAGGTCAAGAATAAAGAATGACAGACAATTCAGTGATTTCAGAAGTTAGTAAGAATTCTGAGCTTGGAACGAATGAATGGTCAACCTAATCAAGAATTGCGTGTACCATATGTAATTTCAGATATGTGGAAACTCAAGACATACCAAGGCATCTATTAAAAAAATACCACTAATTAGAAATCTATAACATGACCTGTAGCAGGGTTTTTAACCAAGAAGAGAACTTTTTACTTATATCCCCTTAAGGAGAGAACTAATCCTAGGAAACAATGTCCTCAGAGTAAAACTGAGGAGAGGATGTTTGTGTGCTTGCCATGTGGAGGCAGAGAGAATAAGCTCCTGGTTTCATAGCAGACAAGGGTTAGGTGTGATCAGCTCTAACTGGCTCTAACCTGGTCAGGGGACTATCGGGTATTTGTCTCCCCCAGGAGAGGCTGAGGAGGGATGAGAAAAGGGTCAGAAGAAACAGTAGACAGGGCCATTCATAAGGTCTATAAAAGAAGGGCTATGGTCCAAAATACTGAGATGAAATAGGAAAATACTGGCTTACTGCCTGTGAAAGATGCCAACCTCCATACAACACTTAATTTTCACAATTTCCGAAATTCAGAAATGACTTTCATTCCAAATTATCTTCGATAAGTAGCCATCATTTGACTGATGAATTTTTTTAATGTATTTGGGGAAGTTTTTCCCCTCAAATGTCCTTTCTTTAACTTTCTGTGGCCTTTCTAATTTCTCTCCTGACTCCTCCGAGAACACTTTGACATACCTTGTTCCAAGAAGCCTCGAGATGCCATAGTCCAGCCAATGTTTGTGCTCCCCTGCCTATACATGCTTACCAGGGAGTGCTATTAATTTTATAATGTCACATATTACTCATATTTCTATGAATTTCAATTTCTTAATTTATTTTTAAAGACTAAAATAATTTTATATATTTAATATGGAAACATACCTCAAGTCAAAGAGATC